GTCTCCAGCACACGGCTCTTGCGCAGAAAGTCCAGGAGGTTGCCGTGGGGGGCATACTCGATGGCCAAGTACAGGTAGCCTGTGGGGAAAGAAGAGACCATCGCCTCATCAGCAACTCCACACACCTGTGAAATCTCAGAGATGTGCTGGGGTCCTTGGGAGTTGCCTATAACTCCACTGTATTTCAGGGAAACATCTAGTGGTGGCTCCCGGGAACACTGGGGCTAAAGGGAAGTTTCATGACCTCTTCTTGCCATACTCCCAAGGGGCTGGGGAAGTCAGGGTTCCCCTCCTTCCATCCTCCATTCCTTCCTAATGGGGACTCACAGGGGGACCCCAGATGGCATTCACCCCTTCAGTAACAGCAGTAGAAGGAAAGCAGAGCCTTCTCTTCAAAAGCTCAAACACCTTCTTCACACCAGCTTCTATTTTTCCTTCAGTATTCATCAAGAACTTCATATGGGTGGGCACGTAATTGCAGTCAGTCCGCAGCTTTCCCTGGGGTTATTGGGTTTTTTTTTTTTTTTTAATGATTAAATATCCATAGCAGAAGCACCCACAAGAAGTCACTTTCTTTCTGCCTTCTACTGCTTCTCGAAACCCACCCTAAGTCACCATATTATTGATTAGGTCATTGGGCAGCAGAGTCTAGTTTCAGAGGCTGCATTTTTCTTAGAGAAACTCAAACTTTTATAAAAAATAAAACAATACTTCCAAGAAAACTTATGATTCATTGTCGTTTTATTCCAAATTGTCTTTTTTATAAAAAGTAATTTGCTTTGCAAAAAACATTGATAGAGTAGATGACAATTTATAAAGTGATTTTACTATTAAAGAATAATTTTGGCGGGGCACAGTGGCTCATGCCTGTAATCCTAGCTCTCTGGCAGGCCAAGGCAGGTAGACTGCTTGGGTTTAGGAGTTCAAGACTAGCCTGAGCAAAAGTGATATCTCATCTCTACCAAAAACAGAAGCACTAGCTGGGTGTGGTGGCACATGCCTGTAAGTCCCAGCTACTCTGGAGGCTGAGGCAAGTGGATCACAGAAGCCCAACTAGCCTGGGGCAACAAAGTAAGACGGTCTCAAAAGAATTTTGATAAACCGTTTTTTTAAAAGACCAAATGTATTAAAACTTCAATGATATTCTAAGAAACTGAAATTTGAACAATAAAAAAATATTCTAGCCCTGAATCCTCTTGCACTATTAGGAGAGACAGCCCTAACTCCTGCTGTAAGTCTGCCTTCTCACATCCTTACTGAATTATATAGTTTAAGAGTCAACCAGTTATGTGCTAATGTGATGACAGAACAAAATTTTAAGATATTTTTCTGTTGTTATTGAGAGTTTTTCTCCCATAAGGGGAATTTTATTCATGATTCTAGTTTATTCCCTTTCACGAGACTAACTGCAACCAAAAAAAGAGAATGTAACTTCAAAATTTTATCGTCTTCATAACAAAAGATGAAGCTTGGAACTGGATCGCTTGTCCCCTTCTCAGCTCATCTTTCCCCGGTCCCAAAGACTTGCATCTCTTAAGAGCCAGCATTCTCTTAGAGCTGCAATTGGGCTTAATGCATTCAAGCCTCAGCATAATCTTCTTTTGTAGTTTTAGCTTTTTTCCAGAAAATTGGCTTAGTCTGTCCACCATAGCCACTCTGCTTCCTGTCATACCGCCACCTTCCCCGGGCATACAGAGAGCCCAGGGGAATTACTCTTCTTATATTGCATCACCCTGTGGCACTGATTCTTGGGACACATCTTCCAGAAAGTCTGGTGGGTTTGAGGAACGCTCAGCATGTTTGCAGGAGTGCTATCAGCAGGGGAAACTGTTTCTTCTTGTTTTGTTTGTTTTTTCAACTTTCATTTATATTGCTTTCCCAAGCTGATTGCTGTGTTCAGGAAATAGCTCAAAAAAATAAATGTCATTACTTCACTATTTAACCTAAGGGACATGATCCAGCTTTCAGAATTACACCCTTATTGAATCATCGAATGATGTGTTGTTTGAAGCATCAGTATTTTTAGTTTAATAAAATGAGGAAAGGGAAGTAGTTTCTTTTCTACTGTTGGTGTTTGTGCTACGAAGTCAACAAGAGGTTGTCAAGTTTGTAAATAATTACCGTGTGGAGCTTTCTGTGGGAGTAAACTTTTCCAAGAGGAGTCAAGTTGAAGTGGACTTGGAACAGCAAACCCGTATAGCATACCGAGGTGAACCCTTCAATGATGTTTGTTCTTTGTTTTACATACACTGTGATGTCAGGCATGGAATTCCACAGAAAGATGATGTTGTTACCTATTCATTTGCAGCTAACTCCACACGTTACAATAGAAGCATTCAGTAAGTATGTAAATTAATAACATAAGTTTAACTTTAAAAGCATATGTGACGTGGGTAGCTTCATTGTAATTGCACTCTGGACACAAAGCACTTCGGGAGGCTGAAGCAGGAGGGCCACTTGAGCCCAGGAGACTTTGAGGCTGCAGTGAGCTGTGATCACCTGGGACATAGCAAGACTCCTTCTCTTTAAAAAAAAAAAAAAAAAAAAGGCACTCTCACATATAAGTCTAATTATTTCTGAATCTAAGCATTCTCAGTTCTTTCATACTCCAGTAGATTATTCCCATTCATGCCCTGCACATTCAGAATACCTGTTCCCTGTTCTGGGGAAAATGTAAAGTCAGACAGTCAAGAAGCAGCAATGCACCCTAGACTTTCTGGGGGTAAGGGCTCCCCTCCTCCACCCTAGTTGTGATGTGGCCAAGAAAACCCCCGCTTAAGCAAGGACAGGGCAAGTAAGAGCAGTAAGTCTGCCTCTGGGCAGCCATGACTGAACCACATCAGAGGCTAATGATCCAGCCTCAGCACCCACATCCAAAAAGGTGGCAAACATTAGCATAGTCTGTAAATGGGCTAGAGACAGACATTCAGATTGAAGCTGCAACTTTTAAAAAAAAAAAAGGTAACATTCTTAGGATCATTACCTTTTTAATTTCAACATGGAATTTAACTATTTTTTTTTAAGAAATCATACAGGAAAGAGAGAAAATGGGCATCTTACCTCGATGTTCACATGCACCCAAGAGATTGATGATATTTGGGTGGTGTCCCAGTTTACAGAGGACCTCCAGTTCTCCTGCAAAGTCCCTGTGGTCATCTTTGGAGGCGTATTCTGGGAAGGAAGTCAAGGGTTAGGATCCTGCTTTGTTATGCCTTTCACAATCAACTGTGCCCCCTTCCCTAGGACCTTCAAGCACACCCCAATCACCAGGCATCATTTGGTCTGGAAAACTGTATACAAACGAAGATGACTCCACAGCAGTTTCTCAACCTTCGCATTGAGACCCAGGCTAATAATGTTTTGTTACAGGAAGCTGTGCTGTGTGCGGTAGGGCGTTTACAGCAGCTCTGCCTTCTCCTCACCAGTAATTCAACCAAATGTCCCCTGTAGGGTCAAATCACCCCTGGGTGAGAACCACCACACTGGGGTTTAAGCTGTTAGATACCCAGGGAAAGGACTTGGTAGAGGTGGAGCTCTCCTAACCGTTAGACTCGAGGTAAATCTACCATCCAGAGACAGGCAAGGAATAGAACCAGAGTTCCCACAAACCATCACCCATAGTACATGCAGCTTATTTTACTGAATAACATTTACTTTTTTTATAAATCAGTCTGCAAACCAGTCTCCATCTGGCCGAGCTAAACAAATCAAATTCCAATGACATCTTACAGAAGGTGCGAGGTAGTCAGGGAACTGGGGGCATGTGTTTCTGTACCTTTCTCCTGTTGCCGGAGAGAGAAGCACAGACACCAACTGATGACTTGTGAGTTGGGAACATGGTACTATTACTGTTTTTTGAAAAATAACACTGGGGTGGGGAAAAGGGTAGAAATGAAGTGCTGGTGAGTGTGTGCATGTCTGAAAGTGCTTCGAAACTGTGGCTACATCTCATGGAGGTGGAGGTGGGAGGCTAATGGCACCCATAAGACTAATAGGAACCTCCAAGTCCAGTGCCCTGTTCATACTCCAGGAGCCTCACAATGGCTCTGGCCCTGAGGGTCAACATCTTGGGAATATTTTAAAAATAAATCTATTTTTTTTTCTAAGACAGAATATCACTCTGTCACCCAGGGTAGAGTGCTATGGTATCATAGCTCACAGCAACCTCAAACTCCTGGGTTCAAATGATCCTCTTGCCATGATGCCTCACTAGCTTTTTTTTTTTTTTTGTAGAGATGGGTGTCTTACTCTTGCTCAGGCTGGTCCCAGAGTCCTAGGATTACAAGTGTGAGCCACAGCTCCTGGCCAAAAATAAAGCTCTTTACAATGAGTTTGTCCCCTTCAGCCACTGAACTTCTTTAACAAGGCAACAGGGCATAAAATTTCTGCAGGTAAAGTGATACGTCCAAAGGAGGGTATTTACTGAAGAGCCTTGTTAAGCTATTTTCTCACATGGCCTAACAGAATAAACCCAGCTCAGGTCAGATCCCAATAAAAACTGACACCCTCTAACTATCCTTGTTGCTCCCCAAAACTTCCTATAACTAAAGTAGCAAAACAGAAAAGAGAATTCTGGCTGCTTAACAAGTATTTTGGGTTTTTTGTTTTTTTTTTAAGGAATCATACTCCTATCTCTATCATAGATAAAACTGTGTTTCATTTTGTTTTCTTGGTCTTCTTAACAATGCAGAAAGCATTAGATGATTTAATAAGATCCAGAGTTAATCTAGATCAATATTGCAGTTATAAAGAAAGAAAACTGCCATCAACCTCGGAGAGCTCTTAAGACAGAACTACACGACAATCAAGAGTTAATCACTTTCTCTGATGTGCCACATTCCCAGCCAGTGTTCAGTGAACCTGACATGTGTCTTCACAACCAAGTTGTGCACAGGCTGCTGTCTCACCAGCAGAGATGACAGCTGGCTCTACTGCCAGTGAACAAGTCATTCTACTTCCTTGAAAGTTGCTTATTACCCAATATTAAGTGAGTGGTAGTAAGTCGTCTTCAGATGAACACAGCTAGAAAACATTTAGTTCTTGTGACCTTGGACCAGGGGTCTTCAAACTTGAGTATTCAGAGAAACCATTGAGAAAGCCTGTTAAGAACACACATTTTCATACTCCATCCTAGAAATTCAGATGTAGTAGGACCAGGGGCGGCAGAAGCCCAGGAAGATGCACTGCTGACAATGTCTCCAGGATTTTGATACAGGTGTCTATGAAGACTGTGGTTTTCTCAATGTGGTTCCCAAACCCACAGGACCAGCATCCCCTGAGAACTAACTAGAAATGCAAATTCCCTGGCCTTGCCCCAGACTTACTGAATCGCCAACTGTGGGGTGGTAGGTGGGGGAACAATCTGTTTGTAAACAAACTTTGCAGGTGATTTTGATGCATGCTGAATTTTGAGAAATGCTACATGAAGAGAAACAAGGATGCTCGTCAAAGTAAACAGTATACGACCAAGAACCTACAGTTTCACGTCCCAAGGAATCAAGACAGTGATCTGTAAATGGCTCCTGTCTTTGTGTTTATATTCCAACTATCACATGCTTGATCTCAAAGGAAGCATCGCCTTCAGTTGCACGCAGCAGCTATGTCTGACACCATGCCAATTTTTGGTTTAAGGAACATAAGACCACAGGGGAAAGATTGGACAGGAAGTGAAGTGGTCTCCCCACCCTGGAGAAGTGCTGACTCCATCTGGCCAACCACTGACCTTTCATTCTCTTGATGGCAGCGTCCATCCGTAACCCATCCTTCTTGATTCGTGCCTTCAGAACTTGGCCAAAATTGCCCTCTCCAATCACATCTTGAAATTTGATGTCATTCCAGTCAAGCACTGGGTAAATTGTAGGATCTGGGTTGTTTTTGACCTTCCTGTTTAGGGCCAGAGTTCCTGAGTTGAACTGCACAGCTGGCTCTTCCCTCTGGAAAAATAACGTTTCATCATTTTGTGTCAGGATTTTTCATAATTCTAAGGGACATATCTTCTGGTTTGTATCCACATCTGATAAAGAAAGAAATAGTATATCTAATTCTAAATTGGAAATAAAAATAGGTTTCATCTCATAGGCCCACTCTGATGAACTGGATGCCACGAACTGCAGGACCTAAGCCTGGGGCTCAGTGGGAAAGCTTATTGATTAGCTTATTGATTCGTCTGCAGAGGGTGAGGGAGGAGGAAATAACAGTATGTGTTGCCACCTTTGAGTTAATCGCACTAGAGTCTCTTCTCCTGTAGAATGAGCAGTTGTTCAGTTCTGGTTTGGAAAGTGACTTGGCGATCCTGTCTAGGGGCAGTCACAGAACGTGTCTCAGTGAGAGATTTTTCCTAGCATCATCTTGGTCCTCATCTATTCTTGGCACACTATCTTTCACTCTAACATTTAAACTCTCCTAAGCCCACTCCAGCCACAGGATGACTGATGCTCAGCAAAACCCAACACAGTGCCTCTTTTCCTCCTGAATTCAAATGACAGTTGGTGGAACCATGACAGGCTCCAGCACTCCCAGCCCCCTGCTGGTCCTTCCTCTAGCTCTGGCATGGAGCCAGATAACGAAGCTTCTCTGGTACTCCATGGAAGGGAACCTGGGGGCTCATGCACAGGAGGGTATACCTCATCTGAAATGTGTCATCATGCTGAGTGTTTTATAAAGAGTTGATAAAGTCTGCTCCAACTTAGTTTTATGGGGCCTGAGACCTCAAACTAGAGCAGTGATTTTCAACTGGTATGAGCCATTGCACCCTGGTATGCTGGGAGAAGATCTTAGGTGTGCCCCGATAATTTTTAAAGATCATTAATTAAATTATTTTCAAAAGAAGTTCAAAGAACAGTAAGTATATTATCTTTCTGATTTTTTTTTTGATCAACATAATTTAAGTGTGTCACAGAAGTTTATAGGTTCAAGTGTGCCATGAAATATAAAAGATTGAAAAACACTGACTTAGAGACAGGTTCAGGCTTGGGTATACCAATAGATAAATAAGGTCCCTACTGGTAAAGTGTGATTTTGTGGACATTTGCTACTGATCAAAATTCCTAGATGAAAGAATGAACCAAGCACCATGAACCTGACTGCAGACTATAGAGCCAAGGCCTGGGAGAGACATGCGTGTATACAGTCCATTCGTGTGTGAATGTATATATGTACACGAGGGGCGATAGGATTGAGGGAGAAATTAGAAGTAGGAAATGGGAACTGGAAATAGGAAAATGTGGAGGAAACTTGTCTAGGGCAATACATACATCATTACCCATTGTGCCAAGATCTGGGTAGGTTCGTATCTTTCCTTACCAAAATGTTTGATTCATCCCCCTGCAAGATTATTCTCTCTGGTGATTTACTGCTAGGATGACATCTCATTTGAGGGGTGGTGAGGGGAAGACAGAAAATTTTGTTTCAGGCCTGATTTCCTGCATAATTTATTAGGAACACCCTTTTCACTCTCAAAATTGTTCTGGTTTGGACAAGAAATTATATAGTCCTGCTTTGTATCTCCTATTCCATAAGGGAAGCCAAAGAGAAGATGAGACTTGCCTGAGGGAAATGTTTGCTTTACAAGCAAATTTCTTGGTCCACACCTTAAATGAAGGTGCTGCCTCTATGTGGACCTGCCCTGATTAGCTAATAGGAAGATGAGACTCTACCACGTTCTGGAAGGCTTGGGCCATTCTCCTCTGGACATTTGCTCTCTTCAATTGCAACATGATCAGAAAGGCCAAAAGCACTGTCAGGCAGGTCATTCCAGCCGAGCCGAGGATGGCTATGAGGAGCATCTTCCCACCTCCGAGTTCTGCTGGTGCTGTGCGGGAGAACAGAGGTGAGCAGTGGGTTAGTTCAGGTAGGCAGACAGGCCAAGATCACGGGTGGGGGGAGACACAGTAGCCTGGGAACGCAGTGGAGCCCTAGTCCTGTGTGACTTCGGGCTGGCTACTCCTTTATTTTCGGAAACTCAGTGGGGACGAGTCTAACTCACAGGGATGATATAAGATCTTTTTTTTAAAAAAAAAAAAGTACAAAATGTTTTTAAAATAGCAATGTGCTAATCATTACTTGTCCTTTGTTCAACTTTTATTTCCAAGTAGAGGCTTAAGCGGATGATCGTTGGATAAGAGAGAAGGACTGGCTGCATGAGCGACTTTGGGAGAGAGACTAACCCTCCCTGCACCTCCACTTCCCCACCTAGAAATGCTTTAAACTTCTATGATCCAAGAGTTTAGGATCTATAAGTTATTTTGCTTTTTTGTTTTGTTTTGCTTTAAAGAGCTAATGGAGAAAACCTAAGGATAATGAATGGAGTAAGGGAAGAGGGAGGGGAGGAAGGAAGGAAAAGACAGCGGGCTCACATGAAAATAAACTATTACAAAACTACGGTCTAGCCCCTCTACTTCTTGGCCTCATTAAACTAGTATAAAATTAAACTCAATATATTTTTATGAACAATAGCACACAGAGCCTGATACCATTGTCTTCCTTTCCTTCTCAGCTTACCTATCTTTCCTTCTGTCTCTGTGTGTGTGCAAACACAGAGACATCTGGAAGAGTGAGAGGGTTTTGTTTTCTTTTGAAAAATATTTTCTCTTGGAACCTCATGTATAGCTTAGATTTAAGACCTATATACATTTTACCAAAATACAAGTGATTATAAAAATGAGGCATTTATTAATAGTGTGAGCTGAAAACTATTAATACAATTAATTCTCTATACCTGGCAGACTCTTCATTCTCTGGACATTTCAAAAATGTTCCAAAGAATCAGCAGAAAAAACAAACAGCTAGTTTTATTTTACTTCTCCAAGAGAACCAAGAGATTTTTAGATCTACGTGTAAGGTTTTCTGTAAAAGTAGACTCTAGTCCAAATTATGGATTTTCAAAACTTGCCTGTCACTCTCCTGTGCCTCTGTCTGCATCTCTGGGCACATTACACAACACAGAAGGGTTGGCGGTACCATCTGCACGGACTTGTGCTGAGGCCCTGCCCACACCAGGGCCCTTGTTCTCTTCTTTACAGTCAACAGGTTTTATGGATCATAGATAGTGGCTATAGTGTGCTCGGGGTGCTCAAAAGAGGTCTCTGTTTATCTTAAGGAGCTTACACTCTGGGGTGGGGGCTGATGGTGGACACAGAGTCCTAATAATCTAGATCAGAAAAGTAGAAGAAAACTCAGAATAGCACAGTGTCATCCAAGCTAAAAGAGGAGGAGATTTGACAAAGAATGGAGTGTGGTTATCAGAACCTCCTCCGGAAACACTATATAAATGTGCCTGCCTCCCAGAAGCAGTTTCCACATCCTTCTTTCTCCTCGGAATCTAAATTCATATTCCTCAGAGCTTTCTTCTTAGATTTCTGGGTGGGGTGTGCTGACAGGCTAATCTAGTCTAAGGCTTAATAACAGAAAATAGATCAACAGGGATCCTACCTGGAAGCATTTTGATTTTAAGGACATATCTTGAAGTCTATTAAGATGAATGAATTATGTCATATGATACACATATGGGGTAAAAATAATCTCATGTAAATAAATACCTGTCCACTCTACCAACCTTGAGATTCTGGGAGGGTCATCAGTTCATGAGAAAAGGTTGGATTGCTTGACCCGATATTGTTCTCTGCAAAAATGTCCACTTGGTAAGCTGTTTCAGGCTCTAGGCCCTTGAGTTGATACTGAGTGATGGTGGCATTCTTAATCTTGACATCAATGTGCTGGTCTTCATTCTTGCCCTGAACTTTGTAACGGATGATAATAGAGGAAATAGAATACCCATCTAGTATTGTCCAAGAAATCACAGCTGAGGAGTGTGTGATGTTGGAAATCTTGATATTTTCTGGTTGAGGAGGGAGAACTAGAAATTTAAAAAAAAAAAAAATTCCCTTAAGATATGCTACCATCTCTTAGATCGTTATGCTTTTGAAAGATGGTTCATGTCAGCTCATAAAACATAAAAGGCAGATAGATGTTTTCTCCGATAGTGACTCCAGTCAATTGGTAGTGGCTACTGGACTCCAAGTCCCTGCAGACATGAAAGAATATGTGTATCACAGACAGGGAACCGGCAACAGGCATGTCAGCTATTTGTCATCCTTACACTAAATGAAGACCTCAGAAATTCTGTTATGTATGTATGTGTGTGTATATATACATACACACACCGTTCTTGATGCTGGGAAGAGTGGAAGATTATGAGAACTGACATTTAGATAGTGCTTGGGATATGCCAGGCAGTGTTCTCGGCCTTCCATATATTAACTCATCTCCTCTTCTTGTCAATCTTTCTGTAAATACTAAGAGAGATTAAGTGACTTAGCAAGGTCACACTATGAAGCAGAAGACACAGGATTCGCCTCCCAACAGTCTGGCTCCATAGTCTGTAATCTGCAGTCTCCGTGTCACATGGCCTGTCCTTTCCCTAAATGCATTTATGGAGCAGTAGTTAAGCCTGTGTGTGCATAAGAAAATATGTTAAGTACTTAGTAGACAAAGTGCTGTAGGGACTTGGGAAAAAGTGAGATCGTGTTCCATTCATAGGTATCGGCAGGATGAGAAAGAGATGTTTGAGTTTTTCGGGGAGTGAAGACGACATGCACACATCATCTCTGCATTCTCACTAAACTCTTTCTCTAAAGGGCACAGGCTAAAAGGGAAGTTTGTGAACCAGAAAAAACATCATCTCTGCATTCTCACTAAACCCTTTCTCTAAAGGGCACAGGCTAAAAGGGAAGTTTGTGAACCAGAAAAACCTAAAGCTATTTAACCCCAGAAAAGAGTGAGTCTAAGGTCTTGCCTTTAATATTAACTTTGCCCTCATTTGTAAGGCTGTTTACAATGTGCTTCCCTAGGCAGACTCAGTCCTGACTTTCATAACCACAGTCAGGTGAACAGTGTTGAGGTTTTTATTCTTTGAATTTTAGAGATGAGAAAACTGAGACTTCCAAAACTGAAGGGACTTTGACTGGTTTTCTCATCTCTTAAAGGAGTCACACTAGGGATAGTTCCAGGAACCTCTGATTCAGACTCCGTGGGTCTTGGCCCCAGCAATCTACAGTTTAGCAGCTTCCCTGGGTGACTCTAATGGAGGTTCGAAGGCTCTTTAGGAAACGCTCATTAGACCTTAAACAATTTAAAAGTGGTATTAACCCATACTAAAGGAAGTTCTCCAGGAACTGAGGACGTTTGGAAACAGCCAATCTAAAGAGACAAGTGGAAAACATTTATTGCATGGTTTGGGGGAAAAAAAGAGCTGAAACGAGGGTTAGAATCTTAAACCCACAACTCACAAACAGCATAACATTGAACAAGCCCCTCACCCTCTGCTGGGCCTCAGGTTCATCACCTGTTAAATGTGATGATCATTCCTGTCCTACGTTCCTCATACAGTCATTTTAAAGGTCAAATGTTCTACGTATAAACAGGAAAACATCATACACGTATGTTACTTTTTACATACATTTGGGGACCATGTGTCAACTAGAGTTGACTCCATTTCCTACACTTGGCCAGTGGAATGAGGCTGGAAACTTTATAACTAGAAGCATTAATTTTACTCTGAACAATCAATACGCAAGATCAGCCAATGACAACACAGCATAACAACAAATATTTTCAGTTAAAATGGAAATGGTCTCATTCACGTCTCCTTCCCCTAATTTCTTGACTCTATAGAAGGTAATTCCTATCCTGCCAATCTCACACCCCTACCCCCACCCCCTCCAGCAGCACGAACCCTCCCTCAAACTCCAGACATCACCCAAGGCCAGTCCTCTTTCAGGAACTCCTAGTTTTTGCTTAATCCTTTAAACCAGGGGTGTCCACCCTGTGGCCCATGGGCTGCATGCTGATTTTGTGAGGCCTTTTTTTGCTTATCTGTGTTGTCAGATATCATGAACAGTATATATAGATCTTTGTTGTTTTTTCTTTGCTCCTCGGCTCTCCTTAGAGCTTTTGTATTTACCATGTGGCCCAAGACAACTCTTCTTCTTCTAATGTGCAGCAGAGTAAGAAAGGTTGTCTACGGTATAAACAAAAACGACGGTGTGATTTGATAGTCTATGATTCTAACGAAGATAAAATACAGACTAGTTAACGCCTAAGATAATTTTGAAAAGAAAAGTAGTGATTCACACTTCTATATAGCATCAAGCCCTTTCACAAGTCTATAGTTAATTTAAACAGGCTGGAACTGGCATAGGAACGAACTTAGATCGAAGGAAAAGAACAGAGAAACAGATGCCAAGTGAATATGAGACCTTGGCATGTGACACAGTAAGCCTCACAACTCACCAGGGGCAGTGTCCACTGCACGGCCTGCAGGCGACGGACTTGCCATGTGTGAATGAATAAGACTAAAATGAAAATATTCAAAATACCCCCAAATAACATTTCTGTACATCAAAGACCTAAATATGCAAAACACTAAAGCTGCTATAAAAAGATGTAGAAAATATATGTATGACCTTGGGCTAATCAATAATTCCAAACACAAAAAATACAAATCATAAAGGCAAATCTCAACAGATATGATTGTATCAAAATGTGGAGTGTCTATGGGGCAAAAACCATCACAAACAGGTTATGATAAAAGGACTAGGAAAATACATTTGCAATACATGGGGAAAAAATGAAATACATGGTATATAATAAGAATAGTACCCAGATTATGCAAACATTTTTTATAAACCAGTAAGAAAGATAGCCTACAACAAACGGGCAAAGTGTATCAACAAGTCTATCAAAAAAATGGGAAAATCAAAAGATCAATTAACATAGGACGAGATTCTCAACCTTGCTTGTTACCAAAAAATAAAAATTTAAATTAAGTAGTACTTTTTGCTTTTGAAGTGGGCAAATATAAAAATTTCTGGGCTCGTAGTGGTATCTCATACCTGTAATCCTAGCCCTTTGGGAGGCTGAGGTGAGAGGATTGTTTGAGCTTAGGAGTTTGAGGCCAGTCTGAGCAAGAGTGAGACCCCACCTCTATTAAAAATAGAAAAAAAAATAGGAAGACATTGTGGGGTGTGCATATAGTCCAAGCTACTTGGGAGGCTGAAGAAGGAGGATCACTTGAGCCAGGAGTTTGAGATTGCTCTGAGCTGGGTTGACACCACAGAACTCTAGCCTAGGGCAAGAGAGTGAGATTCTATCTCAAAAACAAAAAAGTTTTTGTTTTGACACTATCAAGTGATACATATCTATTTTTTTAAAGTGTATATACATATATATGTATATGTGTGTGTATATACGTATATGTGTGCGTGTATATATATATATATACACGCACACACATACATACAGCAATGGAGATAAGGAAGATAGCACTGTCAGACATTCCTGGACACAGTGCACATAGAATGGACACTTCAGAGGGAAATAGCCTGTGAGCTCCACTTCTGGACGTGTTCCTAGAAAAGCTCTCACACCCACACACATGGAGTGATGCGTAAGGGTGGCTATTGCATTTTTGTTTGTGATAGTAAAAAAATTGGTGCCTACATGTGCACCTAAAAAGGGATGGATAAATGCCATGATAGTTATAAGATAGAATATTATACAGAAGTTTAAAAGGCATACATCACATCAAAATAAATTAAAATGGATACATTAGATAAAACCATAATGTTCATTTTAAAAAGATGAAGAATTATGTACGCATATGTATACTTATGGAGTTGCCCATTAAAATTACACGACATTATTTGGAAAGATACATAACATAACAAACTCACAATTTTGGTCATCTTTGGAAAGAGGGGAACAGAACAGAGATAACAATCACATAGGATTTTTATCATCTATATTGTTATTACCTCCATTAAGTGAACAAAAAAGGCTGAGAGCAAATAGGGCAAAATGTTAACAGTTGTTAATTCTGGGTAATAAGAATATGAACATTTGCTGTGTTACTCTTTGCACTATTTCATAATTAGTATATTTCACAAAATTAAAAAATATATATCATGAAGAATCCCTAAACCCTGACAAAACAGTTCAGACTTTCACAAATCACTGATACAACGAAGAAATACTGAGCCAGCTTTTGCATCTGTTCCTGAGAACCAGCTGCTGAAAACAGCCTCAGATCTGGGCACCTGGCAGGAAAACACCTGATCCTGACTTACATGGTAGGTAGTTGGTGTAGCCTAGAAGTATCTCGTCTTTCAGAGGGCTCCTACATACGCACAGTTCTAATTTCAGTCAATCAAAATAGAACTCTCTGCTTAATGATGAAAAAACTTTTAATATGACAAAGAAATTCAAGAAGTTATAATTAATTTTTAAAATGACCAATCAGGCTGGGCGAGGTGGCTCATGCCTATAATCCTAGCATTCTGGGATGCCGAGGAGGGTGGATTTCCTGAGCTCACGAGCTCAAGACCAGGTTTAGCAAAGGTGAGAATCTCTCAACCCACCACCCCTGTCTTCACTAAAAACAGAAAAACTAGCTGGGGTGGTGGTACACATCTGTAGTCCCAGCTACTTGGGAGGCTGAGGCAAGAGGATTGCTTGAGCCCAAGAATTTGAGGTTTCTGTGAGCTAGGACTTCATAGCACTCTACCCAGGGCAATAGAGTGAGACTGTCTCGAAACAAAATGAAACAAAACAAAACAACCAATTGGAAATGGAAATAAGCCTGAAATGCAGAATATTTTGAAAGAATAGTGATTTTATTCTTCTCAGATATATATTGAGACTCCAAAAATCATCTAGTATAACGGGTTTTCAAGATAAGTTATTTGGCTTTTAAGATTAGGTAAGACCCATCTCTAATTAATCAATCTCTGTACATATGTAGTTATATGATAATGCTTAAACACTATCCTATAACTGATAAAACAAGTCCTAGAAAACTTCATTCATGTTACTAATTTACTTAGTAAACAACTCCATACCAAGGAAATGTACATTTTAATACAGTCTTGCCTGAGTTATTGCAAATAAAGATATATGTGGCTTTCCTATGTATCACAGGTTATTAAAATGATTAAGTGGGGAGAACACTAATCAGCCTATACTCACAAATAACTTCTTTTTTAGTCCAAATGGCAATAGCTACCCGTTGTTCAGGCAAGGCTGGGGCACCCTCAGTTACTTACTGTCACTGAGAGTCCAAGCTGTGAGGTCTTCGCTCCACTCCCCCTGGGCCTTGGTGTTGACTCTGGCCCGTACTATGTACTGCTCCCTGGGGTGTAAGTTGTTAAGCAGCACAGAAGTCAAGTTGCCGGGCACTTTAATATTCTGATGATCACTTTTTACTTGCACAGACCTCCTCTCTACTTCCACATAAAAATCATCTTCTGAGCTTGGAAATATTGGTTGCCAGGTCAAATTTAGAGTGGTCTGACTTTTGGGTAGGAGGTTGAGACCTCTTGGAGGAGGCAGTCCTAGGAGAAACAGGAGAGATCATTATTTTTATATTGGGTGGAGGTGGAGGCAGTGATATTCCCAAAGAGCTAAAGAATAACCTTGACTCAATATACAGTGTCATAAGCTATCGAAGAAACACAAACTAGCAGCTATATGATATTTTCTCTACCAAAATAGCAAACTTTAAAATATTTCTAACATGTAGTTTGAGTAACTTTAATACAGGAGTACAACCCCATTGGGAAGTGACTTGGGAATATTTTCTAAAAGCCCTAGAAATGATCACATACTTTGGCCCTAATGTCTGAGCAGTGGGGGTTTATCCTAAAGAAGCACACCAAAGGAAGAGAAAAAGCTGCATGCATGAAGATGTTCACTATCGGCTCGGCGGCTGTGGCTCAAG